GTCCTGTCTACGTACTACACGCGTACCAGAGGCTACATTTTGTCATTTATCATGGGAATCTAATATTAAGAAAGGTATTAAAAGGAAATAAAGTTAGCATCCACCCTAGTATTAAGCAGCGCCTTTACAGGATATTTAGTCCTATTTATAAGCAAATTAATAGTTCCAAGAACTAGAAAGGCGCTAAGATCCTCTAAATGTCATAGGATCATGAGCTCTAAGGCGAATAACCCCTATTACTCTTGGGATAAATCTTTGAGAGGAGGATTACTCTAGGGTTAAAAGGGAACTCTGCCTCCTAACTAGGCCCTGTGAGGTTGTGATAAGCCTGCCCTTTTTAGATATTCACTAATAAAGTGGCCCACCTTATTATATTTAAAATACTATTTCTCCTTACGCTGCTTCTCTCTCTTCTAGTCACGCTAGCCTTAGGAGCCTTCGTTGCCCTTTTAGGTCTTATTCGCGGTTAGATTAGAGGATTCTCGTTGCCCTGGGTGATAGGTAGCCTCTAGCTTATTCTCTTCCTCTTACTTCTACTTGTTTGATCCGCCGTTGCTCCAGGAGCTTGTCGGAGAGTCAGCGGCCTCCACGCGAGAGGTTTAACGCTTGGCGCGAATCCTCTTGCACTAGAGGATTAATTAGTAACGCGTAGCTACCTCGATCACATTAGTAATTAAAGAGAACTTGTTAGACGCTCTAGTAAGCTCTTGTTAAAGGTTATTATTCAACGTTTTGATGAAGAGCTATACACGGAACGCGGGTTTCTTAAGGAACTCCTAGATTTCTAGGTAGTACGCGCCCTAGTCGCGCACCTGTTGGTTCCCCTACTGCTTGTTTAATATATGGAAAGTGGCTTGTTGTATTTGGTCTGCCTTGGGATTAGCCTAGGTCTTAAGATACTTCTTAAGCTCCTCCTAACTTGGCTCTGGCTCGGAGGGGTCTTGGTAGTTAATGTGGATACGCCATGCGAGCTTGATCTTGTCGTTGTAGTGACTGACGCTGTGACGGACCCGCGACTCTTCTGTTGCGTACTTACGCGGGTACTGGGCGTGATGATCCTTAGTATCAGCGGTCCACGTGCGCTATTCCCCAAGGTTCTTTCCGTGATATAAGGGGATTTCTTCCAGCTTCAGGCCACTGTTAGGTCTATCAGCGCGTTTGCTGATCCGCTGGAGGCTATTAGTCATCGCCTCCATTAGCCGGGTTAGCAAGGGATCTACTGCCGTCGTCCTTTCGCGTGTACGTTGGTGATGCGCTAGAGATGAGCTCTCTTCCTTAGAGGGGGAGGGATAGTTTGGATTATTAGAATCTAAACTAGAAGGTTTAGATCCTCCCCCAGGGAATCCTGAGGCGCCGGGACGTCCTGCAAGCTTAGAGGACTCTAAAGGGGGGCCGCGGGCCGGCCGCTTGCCCTCGGAGGTCCTAGACGGTTTAGGGAGAGGTTAGAGCGACTCCACAGGTAGAGGGGTCTCCTGCGCCTGGGTTGCTTGCGCAGCTTGGGAGTTAGGAATGACTGTCTAGGAGCGAGGTACATCCGGCTGGGGACTAATAGCAAGGCCGCTAGTCACGAGAGCTTGGGAGCTAGAACGGGTGCTGACTATCTTAGTAGTTGCTAGGTTAGGCAGCGATTCGAACTGTAAGCAGCGAGGTCGGATTAGTGGCGGCTGCTAGTTAGTCTTCACCCGCGGCAAGGTCCCAGCAAGCAACGAGACGTCAGGCTACGTAGGATGTACGAATGAGGAAGGAGAAGCTATAAGCTAATTAATTCAAAAACGAATCGCTAGGCATCAGGAAGACCAGCGATTGCATAGGTCTTTTATGTACAGCGATGCCAAGAGAGTCATTCGGGATTTGGCCCAAAGGGGTTAGGCCTAATCGGGTCGGATCCCGAGCGGCGGTCGCGCGGCCTCCTGTCGGAGCTGCCTAAGGCACCCGCTGTGACATATGTGCTAAGAGTTACGCGATAATCATAATATAGTAAAAGTAATATATTTAATATATCTACCCACATAGTAGACATAGCAGGAATGATATATTAGCTATATTAAAGAATAGTATTTAGGAACACTTATTCATGTATATAATTAGTTTTAGTTACTATCTATTACTTTTAGAATCAAAGCTACCCTACCTTTCAGAAACCCCAAGTTCACCTTCTTAGTTCGTTAAGAAGCAGTCTTCTCACATTAATATAAGAATACCTTAAGCCCTTCCAGGCCTAAGCAGGATCGGTTGGACTTATCTGACAGGTAAATAGCACTCTAGTCCACGAAGCTTGAACCTTATAAAATAATCATTAGAATAGTCTAGGCTGTTCTTTAATAGATTAAAATATTTCACCTATATATGATCTCCGGGGACGGGATCACGTTCAAAATTAATATTAGCTATTTTATAGCCTGATTAGCCTATGACTATCCTCTTAATAAGGTGCCCGAGTTTCATTATTACGTCCGCCCGTATTTAGTGTACAATGGTCTTTGCTTGTTATACAGACTCACCTGAAATGTCCTTCTACCCCCCCGCACTGACAAACCCTTTTTTGAACCCTAACTTGAAGACAACGCTAAACCAAATATAGAGAGCGGTCACAAAAGTGGATATTAACGTGAAATAAATGTTTTGTATCAAACCCGTAAGAGTTACGGAGACCTTGGTACTCCAAACGTCACGCTGACAAGATGACCCGAGTGTCACGTGGCTATCCTGCTGTACCAGTAAAATAGTCACTAACCGTAGGTTCTCGTTACGAGCCCTGAAGCTAGCTGTGTATTTCGGATTGACGTAACTTGGATACTTCCCTAGAACTTGGTTCTAACGTCGTATGTACGTGGCTTGGCGTCGTGGAACGGTGACGAAGGCGTAAGTAACAATGTATGGTTCGGACGTGTACTGCGTTCTGCTGAGGTTCACCAATAGGCTTGCACTTGAAGGTACGGCCACCTACTACACGCATGTAGTAGCTGTAGAGTAGTTCTGACGAGTGGAGTACTAGCAAAGGTTTACTCTGCAAATGACAATGTAATAGTGAATTGATCGCGAGGGACTAAAAGTAAACTAAGTACATGTGCGTGAATGAGCGTCCTTATATCCTCCAGGTGGCTACTGGTAGCTGGCAGTAGCTTCGCTACTGTCGGTAGGTGATAGCTTTGCTACTGCGGTAGCTTAGCTACTGGCTATCATGCTGAGGTAGCTACTGTCACGTGATCCAGACGGGCGGGATGTTTCTGCCTGAGTATTCGTACCGTCCTGCGCCCAATTGGTCCGTGATCGATTGGCTGTGAGTGCTTGCCGGCGGGCTGAGGCTAACTCCGTAACACCGAGCACCGCCTTTCCAAATAATCATATATTGGTTCAGATTGGTCAATAATGATTGGTATTGGAACCTGGGCAGGTCCTTCTAGAATAACCTGGAAATTCCGAAATTAGCAAGCATATAGGGATCACCAATCCCAGAGCCTCTTTCTAGAAAGAGATTAGAAGATAAAGAGAGTTGGAAGACGATCGTCAGATAACTGGAGATACAATATAGCAAGAGGATAGAGGAGACAATTCAGTTCAACCACAAAAATGTCAAGCGGCTGAATCATGTCCAAGAACCACGTTGTCGCCATTGGTAGCCAGTTGCCCGATAGTCTGGTAGAAGCCAAATCAATTACGGTCCATTACGAGTTGTCCATTTCTCAGAGACAAATATTCCATTTTCTTGTCGTTCAGTAAGGGAGGTAAGAGGCTGATAGCTCAAAGAAAGTGAGTCGCGGTCAGTAGCGAGAAAACCATTAGTTGAGAATGAAAAGGTGTTTACTCCCACGTCAAATTGATGCTTATCTGCTTCAAGGCCGGTGGCTGGATCCTAGAGCCGCACGATGTGATCACTAGAGGCAGACGCGACCGCCTGCCCATTGGGTGAGAAGGCCACCACGTTGACTGAACCACTGTGGTCCTGCAGCATGCGGTGCTCCACCCCCGTGGCTGGATTCCAGAGCCGCACGGTTTTATCATCAGAGGCGGACGCGACAATCTGCCCATTGGGTTGCTTAAAGAGTAAGAACACAAAGCAGAAGAGATTTGATCGAGGCCGCTTGAACTGCAAGTGGGGGCATCATCCATTCTCTAAAAGGAAAAATAACGGCCCGTCCTCATGCCCTTATGTTTTTGACTGGTTCGCCCCTTCCCTTTTTTTCTCGAATATTCGCTGCAAACACACCAAACACTGGTTGCTTCTGAACTGGAGATCTTGCACCTCACGAGCCGCTGCTGCATACGGTACCTGAGGCTCTTCCAATCCGACAGAATCAGTGGCAATTCGCGATGTCCTTCTTTCGTTGTATAAACTCCTTCCTGCTTCTGATATGTAAGACCTGGAATCGTCAGAAAGCTGCCCTCGAATACAAGTTCTTCACTACCGAGCCGCCGTGGCTTTCAAAGTTCGCGGCTCATAGTCCAGCACAGTGGCGGAGGCCCAACTCTGATCGCATCAATTTCCTAGGAAATTGCCGCAACGTCAGTAGGCGGTCATGGATGGTTAGGTATCGATCGCGCCATACACGCAAATGGGTTAAATCAGTTTTTTTTTTTTTTTTTTTTTTTTTTCCTCACTTCTCTTTTAAATTGCTTTGAGATGTCTTTCTCACAAACTAAGCTGCGACCGCTTGATTAAGACACGACCTGCATAATTGCCTTCGGGGGCGGTTGGGACTTGCTTTTGTGCAAATCACTCGCTGAATGCTGCCTTACTTAAGGGATGGAAGAAAACAATCGCCGAGCCACACCGTCAACTTGAGGAGCAATAGGGGCTCCAAGAAGCGGCAGAGTGAAAAGGAAGAGAGTGTATCTTAGCTTTTAAGCGAGATGGTGGATAATTTTGTCGAAATGATCATCGCGATGATTCGACCAATCTCCGGAAAAATACCTGTGCCGGGAGCCGTGATCTGCTGGCCTGGAGATCGCCCATCCGCATTTGTCAGTCGTCACGAAGCTTCCCCCATTTCCAACAGTTGATGGCCGACAACAGCTCCCCAGACTACAAAAGTCTCTTTCTGCAGGCAGAAGAGAAGCGGAGGCAGCAAGAAGAGAGGAGGCAGCTCGCAGAAGATGAAGGACGACTCGAGAAAGGTGGGCGGGAGCAAGCCGAATCACAACGAAACCAGATTGAAGAACGCACCCGCCGGACAACTTTCCTGGAATTCCCACGCCACTGCCACAACCTACTCTCCCGACCATTGAAAGTCGCAACCCTGTCTCGCTCGACCACTAGGACGATACCTCTCCCTAAGGGCAAACATTGCCTGACACGGCTGCGTCCATGGACGGATTGTGTCCGTCAACAGCAAGCCATCTACGACAGGGTATGCATCTACCTACAATCTACTAATCCCGAGCACAACTTAACCCTCCCGTGATTGCACTTAAAGAGCTTGCTAGGTGCTTTGCTCTCTGACCTATCAGCAGTGAACAAGGGCATCGAGACATGAGCTTATTGCCGTGGAAGATCATGTGCGTGATATCATTTCAGAGCTGTGCAAAATCCGGGCTGCTCGAGAGGAGTTTATGCTTGGCGATGGTACTCAGTACGACAACCACACCAACGCGCTGACCGAAAGCGGGCTGAATCAGACGCAAATCATCCTCATATTTCACGCCGTCCGGGGCCCGATCAAGCATTTATCATGTGGACGGCAGCACCAATTACCTCCTCCTCCTCCTCACCGTTGAATATAAGCCACCGCATAAACCCTCCGTGGAGGCCCTTCGGGCGGGACTGCGACCGATGAAATTATGGGAAGAGATGGTCAAATGCAACACAGTGCCTACGGACCCTATGGAGAAACATAGATATAATGCGGAGCGGCTGGTTGACTCAGCTATAGTCCAGGCATTTGATGTTACAATTGAAGAAGAGCGTGCGGATGCTATTTTGACGAATGAACTCGCTCTTTTTTTTTTTAAAAAAAAAAAAAAAAAAGCTTCCCATAAAGTGCTATAATAGAATTAAGGTTCTTATTGGGGTGACTATTTTAAGCCTCCAAGGATGACCAAGGGTTTATGTAATCTTAGCTCAACTCTTGACTGCCAACGAGAATTGACAGGTACTATAGGCGGCCCAAGATCAATTATTCCGAAGCTGACTTACAGCCCTCATTATCAGGCCCCCAAATGTCCAGAGGAAGCCTTTCCACAGACGCCAGCAATCTCTGAAAGGCGCGGAAGATTGAATCATCCAGCGGGTGCTGGATAAAATGAAGACTTACTGCCTAGTCTGAAGATACACGAGTCAGGGACGGTTGGCCGGAGGATTTCCCGACATATCACTCGTTTAGACACGATTCGCATGGCCCCGCCCGATTGGGGGCGCTTGGAAACTCTTTATTGGCAGTCGTGGCCCCATTAGCACTTCTCTCTCCTTTTCCCGCGCTCCTTTCCCCTGCTCTGGTCTGAAACCATCCCGGACAATCACTTCGATAGATTTGAGCCCAAGCTTGAAGAAGAAAGTTCGGATTGCGGATCGGGGCTACGAAGATTATCATTGGTCTCTTCTACTGTCGCTTGCACTCTTATCGCCCATCGACCCACCCTCACACAATCGCGAAATATATTACCATTACTGGGCGGTTGTCAAAAGGTCATGCATATCGAAGAAACGCCTGAGGACAAATTTTCCATGTCTGTATGTGTGTGTGTGTGTGTGTGTGTCCAAGTTAAGCTTAATCTCTAATATTTCCTTCACAGGAAACATCGACCCCGATAGATGACGGGACCCGGCGCCCCATACCTCAGCCGGGGCATCGTGGGTTTATGTTTGTGAATACCCAGACTGATGTTTCGCCGTTTGCCAGCATGAGAAGGGAAATAAAGTCATTTGTTGCGAAAAAAGCCGATCAGCGAAGGAAGAAAGAGGCTATTAATCGGTTGAAATCGTTCCAGCTGTTCAGTGCCCGTACGCCGCAGCGAGAAGAGAAGGAGATAGAAAACGTTCACGGAAAGAAGATACAGATTCCTAATCCAACATATGACAACAGTATGTTGCCAGTCAGAGCATCCACCGTCATCAGCCAGAACCATGCCGACCCTTTTCACGCCTACCCTGTGCCAATGAGCAATGCTATGCATGTGTATTTTCGTCATTGTAGGTCGTCCGCTTACTACTAACTTTCTTATATTCGCTGCTGGCGCTGAAAATGTTCTTAGATAGATTCTACGTGATTCCCAAATCATATCCGTTTAGTGCTGACCGGATGAACACCTGGTGGACTGAAAGGTCGCTCATTTCCCCGGCGCTCCTCTACACCAAACTCTGCATCGGGGCTGGACACAAGGCAGCTCTTGAATCTCGCAATGGGGTTTCTTCTGTAGCAAGCCAAAAGTCACTTAGAGATTGCATAAAATCTCGAACAAACGCTATCAGGGCCTTGAACGATTTACTGCAGGATCCCGTAACTGCAGTGGCAGAGTCTACAGTGTTAATTGTTGGATCAATCCTGACAATCGAGGTATGGAGTTCTGACCAATTGATGAGTCATGTTTGAGGCTCTTTTGGTTGCTAACTAATCTGCTTAGACTATCAATGCTGAATTTGCGGCTCTGCAGACGCATATCAAAGGCCTGGCTACGCTTATAGAACTAGCTGGCGGTCTTGATGCATTCGAGCACATGACACTTTCCAGCATATACCAGTACAAAGCCCCTTTTATTCCTCTGTATTCGTGGCTAATGCGACCAGCGCTGTCTCGGGGTATGCTGCCCTGCAGAACAAACCACCGATCATCCCAATGTCGGCGAAGTTTCGCAGCGAGGTACTTCACGAGCCCGCCATTTTTCATCCAAGGCCTGATGATAATTATACAATCGGCTTCGTAATCCCACCCTATATCGCTACTCTCGGCTCTCGCTTTGCTGCTGGCTCCCCCTGGTACACAGAGGTTTCTCCGTCTCTAAAGGACTTTCTCATAATCTTCACAAGGCTCATCCAGCATTTCGAGCTTAGCAAAGCATATCCCGAAATCGTAGGGCCCACCGACGATGATCTTTTTTCCATCTTTCAACACGACTTCCTCTCCGCTATTCCTGCCAAAAATCCAACATCACACAAGATAAATAATTATATTAACCCGCCTCTCCGCTACTCCATTATCATTTACTTATGGGCGCGTGTCTCCCATCTCCAATCTCTACCCATCGTGCGCCACATGGTGGAAACCTTCAGGCACATTCTTGCACCCCGAGTTGCTTACCTCCTGGTGGCCGCGCCTGACCTGCTACTCTGGATGCTTCTTTTAGGAGCGTTGGCGTCTAAGGGTAATAAAAACACTCACTCATGGTTTGTTCTTCACTCTACGCATGTAGCGCGGCGTCTTGGCCTCAGCGACAGGAATCAGGCGCGACGCCTGCTCGGGGAGTTCTTTTACATCGAGCAGCCTGAAGATCTGGGTGAAGGGTTGTGGATTGAGGAAGTGGTGGCTTCGAGTGCACGTATATGTAGTAGTGACGGTTCCGGTTTTGACGTACAATCAAGTAACAGGTGTGAAGTTATTGAGCCGTTCTGAAGCCTGTTATTGTGTGGAAAATGTTGAAAAAAAAATACTTTCCTATTTTAACTTTATTGCGCGCGAAGCGGAGCACGCCTAGAATGGGGACCGGTCGTTTTTAAAAGGCACTGGGTTTCATAAAGAGTACTAGTAATTATCTCTACTTACTCGATATGCAGTCATTGGATAATAGCGAGGAATAAGAGGAATAGAGCTGCCTAGTATCGAATGATCGCACAGGATGCGCTTCCATGGTGTTCAGGTGGATAAAACCATCTGTGGTCTCCGCATCTCCGACCCTCCCACTACGAAAAGCATCCCACATTTACCGCCCTCCATCCTTCATCTCCACCTCCACTAGCTATTAAACAAGGTGATCACATAAGGCCTCGAGCATTAGAGGAGTAATGCTTAGTAGCCGGCCAGCGTGGATAAGGTGAGGTCTAGCGGTACCGTACAGTCGCAACTTTCTGCGGCCCTTAGTAACAGACCTCTCGCTATATTTAGCAAACTAAGCGATCTGTGGATTACTTAATCATTTGTTACGTATCATATAGACAGCTATCCTGTACTGTTGAGAGTCCAGGTATCACGCCATCAGGTTAGTTGGATGTAAGGTAAAAAGTATCAAGAATTGAGGTAAGGGCAGAAAAGCTAGGCGGAGTGTATTCTCAGCCGTCATTGTATGGTTTCGCTACTTTAAATTTCCGTCCGTCATGGTACCATTCACTGTAGGAACGGGCCGGAAATATAGGCTAACCGCTTCCAATAAATTAGGGCTTCGGAACTAGGGTTTGAAAACAGGCTCCGTCTGTCCAAAACATCGAAGGACATTCCGGGTCGCACTGTACAACAAGCAAAGACCATTGTACACTAAATACGGGCGGACGCAATGATGAAACTCGGGCACCTTATTGAGAGGATAGTCATGGGCTAATCAGGCTATAAAATAGCTAATATTAATTTTAAACGCGATCCCGTCCCTAGAGATCATGTATAGGTGAAATATTTTGATCTATTAAAGAACCGCCTCGACTATTCTAATGATTATTTTATAAGGTTCTAGCTTCGTGGACTAGAGTGCTATTTACTATGGGATTTAAGGAACACGCGGCTAGAGGCTCAATTTTAGAGGCCTAGTGATGTAATCTTAACGCTAGTGAATCATTTAACCTCCACACAGCACGCGTGAGACACTGAAGAGGGGAAGTTAAGAGATCCTACAGCCATGATCGTGTTTTTAATGGTATCATCAGTACCTAGGTTTTCTTCCAATAGACTCCCCAGAATGTGTGTAGACATTATAGATCTGTCAGGGATAAGCTATATAAGGTGCGATCCGGGCAGATCAGACCGTATGGTCTGATCATAGTGACCTTTTGGCCCAGTAGATAGTAGCCCGGACGGCTATCCTTAACTG